CTGAACGAGGCCTATAACATCGAAAAAAACAAACCATCATGGATGCGCTGGTAAGTTACAACGCAAATGTATACTACTATGAAGTGGATCCGACAAAGCAAAGGGAGACCGGAATGGCCCTTTCTGGCTTGTTAGCCGTCATCAGACAGTCATACCCGATCTTCATAGCACCTGGTCACCAAGTGACGGTCTGGAGGGTTTGCGTTGCGAGCTCCTGGGCAAAGTGGAACTTAATTGTTCCTCTACTAGATCGGTGAAAGCACACTCATTCATGTACTACTATGGTCTGTCCGTTGGCAGCATTTGCAGACTACGCAGTTGATGACGGAGTTCGGCCCAAATATACGCATCAAATTTCGGTCTATGCCTATAAACCTTGCATAATTTGATGTATACCGAGAACAAAAAGTAATTTCTAAAGGAATTAAAAGGCTGAGCATAATGAGAGTGTTGTCCAAAGTTGCCATATATATATGGCGTTTAACCTACTCAGCTCTACTTGCTGTTGAACCAAAAAGAAATTTAAAGTTCACAGCACTTTTGCTTCACGTTAGAAATGTTTTCCCAAAGGTACTACTACTACTTTTTGGTGGGTTGTGTCTTGTTTTAATCCAACTGAAGGTCATTCGGCACTAACGGGGTACTTTGGTCGACGCGAGTAAGTTGGTTTACCGTTGACTCGACATTTTTAGTGTGTAAAGGATTACGTCGCAGCGTGCACACAGTCGACAGGCTGTAAGTTCTGACAGCTATTGTATACAGGCAGCAGGTCACTGAAAGGACACTTGTCGTGCTGATTATTTATCACACATTTTTACACGGCAACTGGCACACACGTGAGACCAAATTGTCTGGCCTATGCAAACGTTTTCGCTGTTCGCTTATGAAAATTCTACAGCAAACTAGTGAGCAATAGGCTCCCGCAGGGTTTAGGATAATTTCAGCTCCGGGTGATAGCCAATCGATGTAGGCTCCAGCCGGAAGAACCCTGCAGCTGTCTGCCCAGAGGGCGTGTTCCAGGTCCCGTAACGATGCTTCTTTCTGTCAACTCCGAGCAAAATCGGCTAGAGATGACCACCAAAAGAACGGGTCCGAAACAGCGACTTTCATTCAGCAGGCTCAACTGTTGGGGACACCCAAAAACTCAACCAATTTATTGGTCAAGGTAGCGCTAAGTCCTCGGCACTCTGTGACTCTATTCGCGACGTAAATGGCGGCTTTTTTGCTGACAACTTGACCAAGGTTAGCCGCTGGCATGAGCACTTCGAGCACCTCCTCGACCTTCATGAGTAACCCACCGCACTCTCCCTCTTCTCCGCAACGGAGTTTCATCTTTCTTCAGCCTATGCAGCGTCGTGCGACTTCTCTTCTCAAGAAGAAGTTGTCGATGCAATAGAGAGAATGCACAGCAACGAGGCAACCGGAGAGGACGGTATTCCCGCGAGAACTACCATCGAAGCTGCTGCGAAAGTCTTAACTACTGTGCTTCCCAGAAGATTCCAGTCCGTACCAGACTCTACGACGAGGCCCAACCAAGTCGGATTCCGAGCTGGGCGTGGGTGGGTAGATT